TCAAGACACATTTCTGATTATTATCAATGTTGAAATGTTGCTTAATATTTTTGTGAAAGACATGATAAAAGTTTTTTCAGGATTGATGATTAGAAAGTTCAAAAGAAGAGCATGTATCTATCTTTCACGTTTGATTAATTTAGTGCACCCTTGCTAAAATAGTAATTTCTTACAGACACCCAACGTTTAAACGGTAGTGTAGTTTTGATTTTTGTAATGTTTTTTCCCCCTTTTTTTTTGTAAATGCTACAGAAATGCTTCCTTTACATCTTAAAGGAACTGAAATGAAGTGGATTTCCAATTGTTAGTTCCACAGTAGAGAAACATCAATTTTCTTAAGAACATTTGAAACATCAATCTCAAGATTGTTCTCAGGTTTATACAGAAACTAACAGTGGGGTATCTAGTCTAAACAAGGGAATGATGTTTGACCACTGCTGCTTTCCTGTTTTTCTAAGAGAGCCTGTGGCAGCTTGATGAAATTCTTTATCAGTCGCTGGAGATGATTTGTGCTGCACATGAGCCTCACCGTCCTCATTACACGGCTCTCCCCGCAGCTCGCGCACCAGCTCGCGGTGCTCGGTGTCCTCCAGAGCCTGAAGGAATTTGGAAAACCAGCCAGCTTCGTTTTTCACCAGCCTTTTGAGGAGCAGCCGAGCGCCACCTATGTTCCCTTGATTCTCAGTGAGTTTCAGAATCTGCCGGAGTCATAATGAACAAATAGTTAATGTGTTTAATATGAGTGACAAGAGGGAAGAACCAACAGAACAACGCTGACAGACACTAGACAAAGAGGCACACATGCCGGTTAGTTCATCTCAATATGGGTCATTCGTGATATGCAGAACGTTTTGAATTCTTAACTTTCATTTAATCTTTTTTTTTTGTTGTTATTTGTAATTTTTTTTTTAAGTATTTATAAAAAAAGACTATGTTCAGAAACGTTCTTTGTTCAAGCTCAGACACGTCACCTTTAATTAATTATAATAATTATTAATGTATAATTATTTATGAATATTAAATATAAATAAATATAAATATGGTATATTACATCCAATGTTGTAATAATAATAATAATAATTTATGAATATTAAATGAATAAATATAAATACATTATTATATATAAATAGTATACAAATAAATAGTATTTTACATCCAATGTAGTAGTAGTAGTAGTAGTAGTAATAATAATAATAGTTAGTAGTAGTATATTACATGCAATGTCTAACAATATATTAATTATCACACGTATTAGTAGTATATTAAATGAGATGTAACTATTAATAATCATTATTAATATGATTAATAATAGTATTATATGCATACTTATATAAAATATACATTCTATATAAAAGTATATATTAATATAAATAATTGTTGTTGTTATATTGCAATTAAGTATATCACTACTAATAACATTTTATTGAATTGTGAGTTTAATATTTCATCTAGTATGTCAGAGCCACATCAGTAACTCAAATCCACAATTTATAGCACATCTGTTTCTGTTTGGTTTATAGCGCCCTCTACTGATGATCATTATTTCTGTCTATAGTTGTAATGCAGGGATTCACAAACCTTGTTTTTGTCGGCCCCTGTGACGTAGGCTAATATATTGACTTTAAGTCCCCCTCATTTTTTTAAGTGAATATTTCAATATTTTAACAGAATGAATGAGAGTCACAAAGTCGCTTGGGTATATTTGTAGCAAAAGCCAAAAATACATTGCATTCTTCAATGTGATCAAAATGATACATTTTTCTTTTATGCCAAAAATCATTAGGATATTAAGTAAAGATCATGTTCCATGAAGATATTTTGTAAATGTTCTACCGTAAATATATAAAAACTAAATGTTTGATTAGTAATAGGCCTATGCATTGCTAAGAATTCATTTGGACAACTTTAAAGGCGATTTCTCAATATATATATTTTTTTGCACCCTCAGATTCCAGATTTTTAAATAGTTGTATCTCAACCAAATATTGTCCTATCCTAACAAACCTTACACCAATGGAAAGCTTATTTATTCAGCTTTCAGATGATTGTTTTCAGACCCTTACGCGACTGGTTTTGTGGTCCAGGGTCACACATATTTTTTTTGACCCCCCCCATGTTCGGGCCCCCTGATCTGATGTAAGATTACTGACGTTCTCCTGGTCCTCCAGCGTCAGGAGCCCCAGCGCGCGGCAGTGTGCGCACACGTCTGCGGTCTTCATGTTGACCAGCGTGAGCTGCAGGAGGTCGATCAGCCGGACGCAGCTGTCGTTCTCGGCCTCCTCTGTGGGCTCCGGTGGGCTGTTCAGCACGTACTTTGCGGCGTGTTTGCACCCGACGGTCTCCAGCGCGGTGATCAGCTCTCTCGACCATCCCTGCGCGCAGTTTTTAGAGTGAATAATCTCGTCGATCATATATATATACTGTATATATACACACACACACACACACATACACACACACACATATAAATATATATATATACACACACACATATATACACACACACACACAAATATATACACAAATAGTTCATATAATAATAACACATTTATTTGAATATCTTCTTTTAATGTGATTGAATCAGAAATAGTAGAAGAAATGTATTTTTATAAAGTACACTACGCTGTAATTTGTCATAAAACGTTTCCTGGAGTATGTTTTACAAGAAAATACTTTTGCTGTTTTTTTCTAATTATAGTGAAACTTGTTTCCACACCAAATCTTTTTTTTTCCTCCAGTTTGGAGGGGATGAAGACAATTAGACTAAGCAGGGATTTTCATTAGCTTCATAAATGTGCAGCATCTAATTTTTTATTAAATAATACATTTAATAATTTAAAATCAAATGGCCTCATGTATTAGGGCTTTTCTCATCAGTGTTGTAATTGTTAGCCAAAACTAAAACTACTAGATAACGCTTTGTTAATTGAAATAAAGCTGAAATAAAATAAATTATTAATATTGTGTGAAAAACGTGAGCATCAAAAATGTAAATGAAAGTTTGAAATGTTGTCTTGACAAATATCTGAAATAAAATAAGTTTATGTTGAAGAACTAAAATTACACAAACAAGATGAACACAACAATGAATGAAAATGTCAAAGGCACAAAAAGCTAAAATACTAAAACTGAAACTTAAATGAAATAAAAACTGAAAGTATATATAAAAATTCTAAATACTAAAATAGCATTTCATTTAGACAAGCAGGTGTTTATAGAAGTGCTGTGATCTTTGTTGCTGTTTAGGGTTTATTTTTCACCAGTGACAATCAATCACATTTTTATTCATGATTATTAATTTTATATTTAAGTGCTTCTTTCTGAAAAACAAAATAATAATATTTTGACTCAACAAACAGCCACAGGAACAACAGTACGCATAAAACTGATATGCATTCCTTTTATTTATATACTTGTTTATACAGTTAGTCAAAAGTCATCGCCTAAAGTAAATGCATCAAATATATATATATATATATATAACCCCCCCATGTTCGGGCCCCCTGATCTGATGTAAGATTACTGACGTTCTCCTGGTCCTCCAGCGTCAGGAGCCCCAGCGCGCGGCAGTGTGCGCACACGTCTGCGGTCTTCATGTTGACCAGCGTGAGCTGCAGGAGGTCGATCAGCCGGACGCAGCTGTCGTTCTCGGCCTCCTCTGTGGGCTCCGGTGGGCTGTTCAGCACGTACTTTGCGGCGTGTTTGCACCCGACGGTCTCCAGCGCGGTGATCAGCTCTCTCGACCATCCCTGCGCGCAGTTTTTAGAGTGAATAATCTCGTCGATCAGAAGTGCCGCGGCGCTTATGTTCCCCTCCTCTCGAAACTTGGCTTTAATCCGGTCCTTTCGATCCGGTTCGAGGAAATGCAGCAGATCCAGAAGTGGCTCGACCTGAACGAGTCGCTTCAGTCTGTCCCTGAAGCAGTCCAGAATGTGCCGCGTCTCTGCGTCCTGGTCGCAGCTCATGTTGAGGAGATATGCAGAAAAGATCAGCAGAGGTTCACCCGTGATCAGCTCCCCGGACCGGTTTACTTTCGCTTTCGTTTCTCGTCTTGGTTTCCAAACGTCAGATACGCGACGCGTCTTGCTAACATTGGCAACTTTTGAGCCAAATAAATGAAGGAAAGAAAAAAAAACATATTTATCGAAATACCTTTATTTATTCATTGGTCTACAGCTTTGCGGTCATATAAAAGTATGTAGGCTACACTAACAATATATATATATACATACATATATATATAAAATAAATAAACCTTTAAATAACAGACACATTCAAAACACCTGTAGAGTATTGCGGTGTACAAACTACAGTGCAAACTATAAAAAACATGTCAGTCAAAGTGAAACACTGTGATAAAAAGTGAAAGTGTTACGTGCAAATGTTTGCGGTTTTATTAACATTTTTAATATGTCCAAAAAAAACAAAAACAAAACAAAATGCCACCTCTGCTTCTGGCTGTCTTCAATATGATTATGCAGCAAAACGCCACATATAAATACAATTTAATTACTAAATTAAAGATAAAGACGCATATATACACTCACACACACTCACACATTCATGCAGAGGTTGGTAATATTTATTATAAGGGCGTGGAGTTTTTATGTTAAAATAAAGTGCAGATATCATCCCTTCATGCAGAAATGAATGATATTCCAGTGAGATTTAATGCATTTATCTGCAGATTTGATATTTGTTTGGAAGTGACGAATCTTAATTTTACACGTTTCTGTGCAATTTGCTAGATTTTTTTGCTTGTAATTCAAAATACAGTGTTTTGCAGTGACATAAAAATAAACATAAATAAAATAGCTCAAATCAAAACTGTAACTTTGAAATCAAGCTGCGGAATCTTGAAAAAGTAATTCACGAAAGTGTTCATTGCACATAAAAAAAACCTCCAGTATATCACTGGGTATAAATATATATTTTTAGGTATAACCTAATATTACAGAAAAAGAAAACGGATGCAAAAACTTCCCCTCAGATGATGCTAGGCAGTAAATATTACAGTCTTTTCAACACAACTCAGCAAATCAACCCTTTAGACGAGAAACAAGAGTGTAAAGATCCAGTGTTTTATCATTATTGCTAGCAGGATGTGACAGAAGCTTCTCTAGGATAAATATTTGGAAAACAAAGTGATTTTGTTGTAAGAAGATTTTGTTTTTTTTGTTACCAGAAGTTGATAAATATTCTATTATGCATATATATATTCATACTGTAGCTATATATGAGACTAACATGTGCTTTGCAAACAGTGGCGTATCGCAAAAATGAGCATTGACATCATACATAAACGCTTGTTGTGTTTGTGCGCCACTACGATATTTTCTGTGCATCTTTTTGAGTAATAGTTAATAGTTTTGAGTGTCTATGATTCATTATTTCTCACATGTGTGACTCTAGTGTAAATACAGTTTTGCTGCATTAAAAAGTATGTTTGTATTCCATATTATGATTATTACACATGTGGCCGTCTTGTACGCCAGTGCTTGCAAAGATGCTGCTCAATGTCACTGTTTTATGTCGTGCAGAGTTTGGTTCAAGCTAGCATGACCATGTGCAAATAAACCTAGTCGATTAGAGAGGAGTGCATTCAGTGATTAGCTCTGAAACATGCCGACATACAGTAAACCTGCTTCCCAATATGTTGCAGTAAACATGCAACACGTAAAACCTTCAGCCAAGCATCTCTTTTCATTTAATAGTGGGGTATCATTGTATGTACATGGCTAATTAAGCTAATTAAGATTCCAAAACATTTAATTGAATAAAAAAATGCAAACAAACTAATATTTGGCTACAGTGAGGTCCAAAACTCTTGAGAATATTGAAAACCTTTTTTTTATGTGTATATGAAATTTTATGATGTAAAATGAATTTACATCAGAATGAATAAAAATTCACATTTATGTGTATGCTGCAATTTAACTTTTCAAATTCAAATGAACTTTTTTGTCCAAAATATTTTGTAACGTAATGTTTAATTCTAGTGAAAATGTTTCTAAATTAGACAATAATGCAAATAAATAAATACAAATAAAATATAAATAAAAAATTAAATGACTATATTTAATGAAATTAAAAAAATCTAAATAAATAATATAATTTTTACTAGTGGGGTCCAAAACTCAAAGCACATTGAAAATTAAAAATGTTCCATTCTTTAAATGTACATATGAAACTTGGATATAAAATGAACTGAATGAATAAAAATTAACATTTATATTTATTATTTTTTATAAATAATTTTGGTTTGCTACAGTTTGACATGTTTTTCAACTGAAATGTTTTCTATTTTTGTTAAATTAATGTTTTTATTTTTAAAATATATTCAAAATATTTTGTGAAAAACGCTTTATTAAGCTTTGTTATTTTTTTAAATAATGCAAAAAAATAAATTAAATACAAATTAATTAGTGGACCACACTGTACAGTATATAATTCTACAGGGTTCTGCTAATGGAAGTGTAAAATGTCAATATTATAATTTAGAATGATAATGATAAAACAGGGAAGAGATTCTGCCAGTATGATATGTTAACCACCATCAATGTCCTGAGTCTCACACCAGTGTAAAAGTGTGCAGAACACATGTATGTGGAAAAGTGTCCAAGACACTCCCAAGAAATGTCTCTGACTTCCTGAAAACGGAAGTGTGGTCCAGGAATCCGTTCCAAATCTTCCTCGCCGGCATCGAGGAGCGTAACGCAGGAGAAGGAAGAGGAAGAGGAAGCAAATGTACAGGCGAGAGCCAGCGGTGAATCTTAAGTTGTATTAGTATTAAAGTTTTGGCCAGTGCCTGTTTTCAAAACATCCTTTATGCCTCCAAGAAGGTGTGGAAGAGCTGTGGGACGTTCTGGTCAGTGCAGTCCTGGATGAGACGGCGGTCTGTGGAGCTCCAGAGCGGCTGTGGGGTCTGGAAGCAGGGATCTGGACTGCTGGCGCGTCAGAGGAAGAGTCTGGCTGTTTGTGAAGCGGTACGTGGTGCTGGAGTCCTGTGAGGACTGTGTCCCGTGGCTCTGCTTTGGGTTGGAGTCCGTAAGGGCCAGACCTGACAGAGAGTCCTTGGGTTTCGGATGGATCTTTGTCATGGCCAAAAAGTCAGCATCCTGTAAAAGAGGGATTTATTGCATTGTTTATTGGTGATAATGAACATTTTGCAAGTGTATTGTTGTGTTGTGCATGATTCAGAAATGCATTGTTAAAATGAAATGTCTAGTCCTTAAAGCAGCCAATTATATCCTGATTTAATCAATGTGGCAATTTTTTTAGGAGTAACCTTCAGAGAAAAAAATCTTGAAACGTGTGTATATCAGTGTTTTTTTTTTAGTATCAATGAGATACTATTATAATTTTTTATTAATCACTTTTATTTTTACATTTTCGTTTTTATTTTTATATTTGTTAAAGTTTTAGTCATTTTATTGTGATTTTTTTCATTTGTATTATTATTTTTAATGTCTATATAGTTTTATTTTTTATTTTCAGTTTTGATTTCTAGTAGGGCTGCACGATATTATCGGACCGATATCGGAATCGCCCGATAATGGCTTTAAATGTACATATCGGCATCTGCCCAATATGAAAAGAAAAATTTGCGATATGTCTTGCCGATAAGAGGAATACCTTAACTCACATGTGCTCAGGGTGTGCTAGCCATTAGATCATGTCAGCATTGTGACTCATTCTGGAAGCAAAATTTTGCCTGAATGGCAATTAGATTCATTGCTTTGGATCGCTGCATTTAATCTGTGAAAGCAGGTACAGAACGACGCGATCGATGTATGATAGATTTAAACAGTAATAGCACGTGTAGTGGCAGCAGCGGCAGCGGCAGCGGCAGCCTCCCCCGGGTCCTAATGCCCGTTCGGTAAGGAGTTTTAATTCCGTAGGGGGCGCTGTTGGCCTACTTTTAATAAAATGAAAGTAAAATACACAAATAACATTTAGACTGTGTTTCTGATTAAATAAAGCACTAATTGATGTCATAAAATCATGAGTATGTTTTGATTTAAAGGTCAGAAACTATAGCTTACATGAATAAAAAAAAAATCACAAACACGACACTTGTAAATTAAATAATTATATATATATATATATATATATATATATAGTATATAGTATATATTATATATACTGATTTATTCATTAATGTGTAATATGTTATATTTTAAACAAATTATGAGCTCTAAAAGATTTTCAGAAATTTTACAACTCTTTTGCTTTAGACCATCTACAAATGTTAAATCTTAAAATAAAATGTTACGGTTACTACTGCATCTTTCTGAAAAAGAAAAAATGCAACGATTGATATATAGTTTATTTATAGTTATTTTCAAAGCTTCAATGTATGTACTGTCATTATAAAAGAACTTCATTATTGTTTATTTAATTCTATCAAATAAGTTCTTCTTAAAAAAAAAAAATTAAAAATAATTTGCTACACTTGGTGTTGTTTCCAAACAAAAGGAAATATATCGGCATCGGCTATCTGCCAAAATTAGTTGAAAAATATCGGCATATCGGCAAAAATCCAATATCGTGCATCCCTTGTTTCTAGTTATTTTAGTACATCAAGTTAAACTAAATGAAAATGAGGAATGTTTCTTTGGGAACTAGCTGAATTAAAATGAGTTTTTTTTATTTCAGTAAAAATTTTTTATTTCTTTATTTTATCTGTGTTAACCCTGATAACAGTGGGTACGGAAAGTATTCAGACCCCCTTTAAGCACACGGCTAAAATAACGAAGGAGTGGCTTCACAACAACTCTGTGGTTGTTCTTGAATGGCCCAGCCAGAGCCCTGACTTAAACCCAATTGAGCATCTCTGGAGAGACCTAAAAATGGCTGTCCACCAACGTTTACCATCCAACCTGACAGAACTGGAGAGGATCTGCAAGGAGGAATGGCAGAGGATCCCCAAATCCAGGTGTGAAAAACTTGTTGCATCTTTCCCAAAAAGACTCATGGCTGTATTAGATCAAAAGGGTGCTTCTACTAAATAAAGAGCAAAGGGTCTGAATACTTAGGACCATGTGATATTTCAGTTTTTCTTTTTTAATAAATCTGCAAAAATGTCAACAATTCTGTGTTTTTCTGTCAATATGGGGTGCTGTGTGTACATTAATGAGGAAAAAAAAATGAACTTAAATGATTTTAGCAAATGGCTGCAATATAACAAAGAGTGAAAAATTTAAGGGGGTCTGAATACTTTCCGTACCCACTGTATATGTACTGTATAGATAATATTTTATAAATTAATAAAAAATATCTATTTGTTTATAAAATATTTTTATGGCAATTTACACCTACTCTATATTTAGACTGACCACCCAGGGCTGATATAAAATGTATGAAAAATAATCAATGTCTGCAGTAGGTGGCGCTCTACAGCTGGTCATGTGATCTCATTCGAGTGTCACCAAATAACATACTTTTGTGCCAGTAAACACTTCTCAATGCTCTTAGAATCAGGGCATAAAATATGCACTTATTCATGCAATTATTTATAGTTTCTTACACTATATATAGATGTTAAAATATTTAGCTTGCATTTTTATAACATTTGAATTATTTTATACATATCTCAGATGCAGTGAAATAGATTTGTTAATGCCAAAATAAATTATTCATAAGTGAAGAAACTCCGTGTAGACCTCAATTATGTACTGTAACTATGGACCCATCTTCAAAATGTATGATGCTTAGTAGGAGCCAGTGTTGTTAATTCAATCTAAAACTAACTATTTGACATTTTCTTAGATTTCATTAATTGAAATAAAGCTAAAATAAAATTATAATACAGAAATATTAGATGAAATGCTCACCTAACTTAAATAAGTTTAGGGTAAAATAGTAAAACTGAAAATAACAAAAATAAAAATAACAATGAATTTTCAAAAATCATGTTTTTTCATTGTGCATGCCAATTAATCTCAATCAAACTGCAGTTGGGTTCTTTTGATTAGGTAAAAAATAACTAAAAAATACAGATAACGAACATAATAAAACACAATAAAAACATGATTTTTGAAAATTTTCAGAGTTATCTGTTTTTGCAAATAAACTCTTTCTCTATATATATGACAAAAGTGCATAACAAAATAACTAAAACTTTAAAATGAAAACTGAAAATGTACAAATAAAAGCTAATTCAAAATATTAACATACTGTAATAGTGTGTAAATAATACTAAAATAACACTGGACTACGGTTGACAATTAACCTTCAGAAATTCTCATGATATTCGAATGATTTTCATGAAATTTGGTTTAGTTAACGGTCCAGTGTTTGTTATTGGATTGAGGATCATTAATTTCCTCATGTCTCTCATGTCTAGGCGTGTGGCACCTGTGCTGTGCAGTGCTGTGGGTTGCTGGGAACAGAAGCCACGGACTGCACTCTGATGGCGGGTCTCTTGTCCTCGGGGCCGGCTGTGAGGCTGCTGTAGGCCGGAGGTCCTAAACACGTCTGTCTCTGCAGCAGCTGCAGGATACTCTGAATGTCTGACGTCATCTGACGCTCTAACCTGGTGAGACAGGTGAAACTCACCTTAAATACATACATCTGTGTGACAGAATGAAAATCCGTTAAACACACCCGTGTTGTTCCAATTTCTTTAACTACACTAATATTCAAAAGTTTGGAGTCAGTAATGTGTTTATTTATTTTACATAATAGTATTAATCAGCAAGGAAGTATTAGAGATTGATCAAAAGTGACAGTAAATACATTTGTTACAAAGTTATCTACTATCTAGTTATCTACTCTAACATATCACCATTGAGCAGCAAAGCAGCATATTAGAATGATTTCTGAAGGATCGTGTGACACTGAAGACTGGAGTAATGATGCTGAAAATTCAGATTTGATCACAGGAATAAAGTACATTTTAAAATATAGTCACACAGAAAGCAGTTATTTTATACTGTAAAAATATTTCACAATAGTACTGTTTTTACTGTATTTTTAAAAAACATTTATAAAATCTAATAGACCCCAAATGACCAAAATAGGACGAAGTCATCATAAAAATAGCTCATATGACTTGTGCATCAAATATGGTTCCTATAGACACCAATGGCATCAAACTTTATTGGTTTTAATTGTATAATTGCAGTAAACAGTCTTTAATTCTGTAAGCTCTTCATTTAGCAGTTCAGTTGTTCATTTTTGGATAATGTGTGCAAACTTAGAAAACATTAAATGAATAATAACCTAAATATTAAAATAAATAATAAATATTGAAGTAAGTTAAATACAAAAAAAAAGAAAGTATTTTATTTTATATTTTATTTTTATTTGATCTTATTTGTGACCCTGGAGCACAAAAGCAGTCTTAAGTCACTGGGGTATATTTGTAGCATGGGTCAATGTATGGGTCAAAATTATTTTTCTTTTATGCCAAAAATCATTAGGATATTAAGTGAAGATCATGTTCCATGAAGATATTTTGTAAATTTCCTACTGTAGATATATCAAAACTTAATTTTTGATTAGTAATATGCATTGCTAAGGACTTCATTTGGACAACTTTAAAGGCGATTTTCTCAGTATTTAGTTTTTTGGCACCCTCAGATTCCAGATTTTCAAATAGTTGTATCTCGGCCAAATATCGTCCTATCATAACAAACCATGCATCAATGGAAAGCTTATTTATTCAGCTTATGACTGGTTTTGTGGTCCAGGGTCACATTTATATAGCTCTTCTCACAAAGTGCTACTTTCAAAGTGCTTTCCAGAAGATAATTGCAGTAAAATGTCTTTAATTCTGCAAGGTCTTCATTTAGCAGTTCAATGAAAGGAAAATTATGCACAGTTGATGTGTGTTGACTGTTGTTGTCCAGCAGGGGGAGTTCTTGCACTGATCCTGCCAGTGTTGCATGCATCTGAATACTTATTTCCAAATCAGCACTTTACCTGCTAAACTTTCATGATGAAGTTATTGATGACCTAGTTTATATGGCAGAGTACAGACTGAGTGAGATGACCGCAATAGAACAGCATTTCTTCTCCGGTGAGGCTTCAAGCATAAAAACCATGAGC